GGTAATCTGTAAAGTATCTAGTGTCTGATGCATAGTTAAGTGCTCAATAAATGAACACTATTAGTGATGACAAACAGTGACATTAATTCTCTCTCCTACAGTGTTAGTTGTTTGAGGGCAGGACTTCTGACTTTCTTAACTAGGTGTCTACATGAAAAATAAAAAGAATACAAATATGTTGAGCCATACTTGTCTCTAGTATATTTCTTTTACAGAAGTAATTCATGGAAATGGTATATTGCAGTTGACTTATTAAAAATGGGGGTAGGAATAGTCTTAAATCAGTGTCTGAAATCTATACATTGTTTTGAAATTGATAGCCCACCATGATTAACTTCAAAACTGTGTTCCCACTCAAAGAGTGACCAAAAGGTACCAATACGAAATGGCCTGGCCAAAAATGCCACCTGGAGCCAGTTGTTGGGGACAGTTATACTATGAGTCTTAAAAACCTAGACCCTAAATCACAGGTCCATTCTTATTAATTAGCATCGTGATTCTCAATCCTCTCTGTACATTAGAATCACAGGAGAGCTTGACAAAAGTGCTGCCCAGGCCCTACTCCCAGGTAGTCTCTGGCTTAATTGGTCTGGTTGGGCCCTGGACATCAGGGTTTTTTTTTGTTTTTGTTTTTGTTTTTTAAAGACTATTTTTTTAAGAGCAAGTTTAGGTTCACAACAATGTTAACAAGAGGTACAGAGATTTCCCATTTACCCCCTGCCCCCAAATATGCACAGTGTCCCGCATCATCAACATCCCACACCAAGAAGGGTGCTCTTTTTACAGTTGATGAATCTACACTGACATGTCACCATCACCCAAAGTCCATGGTTTACCTTAGGGTTCACTCTTAGTGGTGTGCATTTTGTGGGCTTGGACAAATGTGTAACGACATGTACCCACCATTATAGTAGTATCACATGGAGTATTTCCACTACCCTACATCGGTACTTTATTTTTTAAATTTTTTATTTATTTCTGTTTATTTTAGGGAGAGAGACAGAATGTGAGCGGGGGAGGGGCAGAGAGAGAGGGAGGCACAGACTCGGAAGCAGGCTGCAGGCTCTGAGCTGTCAGCACATAGCCCGACAGGGGGCTCGAACTTGTGAACCGTGAGATCATGACCTGAGCCAAAGTCAGACGCTTAACTGACTGACCCACCCAGGCATCCCGACATCGGTACTTTATAAAAGCTTTCCACATGATTCTAATGTGCAGACTGGTTGAAGACCAGGGAAGTTCCAGAAAGCTGTGTTGACCTTTCTGCCCTCCACCCCCAGCCTTGTCCTCCAATCACATTCCTGCTGTGGGATTATTGGTACAAGTTTGGTTCAGAATCAGCATTCTTACCGTAGCTTTTTTAGGTGTGATTTTTATTTATTCTTAAAAAAAAAAAAAAAAAAAAGATTTTCTTTAGCACCTTGCTTCTGAAGAGCTCTTAATTGCTGTACTTAGAACTTCTAAACAGTGAACATTTGTCAAGCATCAAAACAGCTATCAAAATAGAAGGAGGGAGTTGGGCCTCAGGGACAAGGAGGGCGTCTCGCTGTCTCCCGTGAGTGCAGGTGGGTGGGGGGCGCACGTCCCCTGGATTCTTGGCCCCATTAATGAGTGACCTAGAAACACTTTTTTTTGGAGCGGGGGTTGATGAATAAGCAATCAGCTTTTGTCCCCACAGCAGCGCACCTTAAACATTGAACACAGCTGGATCCTGTCCTCCATGTGTCATCGAAGTTTTGGGGCCACTTCCCACCCCAAGATCCCGTACCCCCTGTCTTGGTTCTTCTAAAAGGGGCTAGTTCTGTACTCAGGTGCAGATAGTTGTGACCTCATCTGTCATCCCTGCCCCAGCTCAGTGTGTAACTGAGTGACATGTGAGTACCTCCTGATTACTAAAGGACCAAGGACCCCGTCTATGGACCATCCCTCCCTCAGGTGGTTTGGCTCTTCTCTAGCCTACCCACCAGAGTGATGTCAGGAATAAGGAAGTAGCAAAGACAACCCAAGGCCACACCAAGCAACCCATTTCATCTCAGATTGAAAAGAAAAACTGTGTGTGTGTGTGTGTGTGTGTGTGTGTGTTTTGGCTAGATTTTAGGTGGAAAATAGGCTAGTGAGAGCTGCAGAACTTGATTAAAATCTTTAGCCAAAAGTAATATCTTAAAAAAGATTTATTTCTGGGGGTGCCTGGGTGGCTCCATTGGTTAAGTGTCCAACTCTTGGTTTCGGCTCAGGTCATGTTCGAGCCCCGTGTTGAGCACTGTGCTGACAGCATGGAGCCTACTTGGGATTCTCTCAATCTGTCTCTTCCCCTCCCCCTATTGTGCTCTCTCTCTCTCTCAAACTTTAAAAAAACAAACAAACAAAAAAAAAAGATTTATTTCTGGGGCACCTGGGTGGCTCAGTCAGTCAAGCGTCCAACTTTGGCTCGGGTCATGATCTTGCGGTTTGTGAGTTTGAGACCTGCCTCGGGCTCTGTGCTGACAGCCCAGAGCCTGGAGCCTGCTTTGGATTCTGTGTCTCCCTCTCTCTCTCCCCTCACCAGCTTGTGCATGCTCGCGCGCTCTCTCTCTCTCTCTCTCTCTCAACAATAAATAAACACTAAAACAAAAAGGAAGATTTATTTTGGGATTTCAATCCCTCTTGCCCATTTTTGTGAATAATCAATATTTGTTTTAATGTGAGTAATAGCAGAGAGCACTTTCAGCGCCCTGAGTTTTACTATTTCAAGCAACTGTATTAGACCTGCGAGGAATGTGCTATTTACACTATTGCATGGGTAGTGATGATAAAAATGGTAATGATAATAGTAATGGTTGACATTTACTGAACCCTTGTAATGTGCCAGACACTGTGCCACGAGATAAGCTCATTTAATCTCACACGAACTCTTTAAAGTAGGTTGAGAGTTATCCCCATTATACAGATGAGGGGACTGAGGCTCAGTGAGTGGCAGAGTCAGATTTTGAATAAAGCAGCATGACTCTGGGTGTCAGTTCACTTTGCTGCCCTACAGTGCACATGTAGGGAGCTGTCCCTGGGGTCCAGTGAGCCAGCACTGTCATGTCAGCCCTTGCCACTGGGCCAGGGTGAAAGGTCTGAGTTGCCGCAGGAAATGGACCTGATATTGATCGGGAAGTAGTTTGGGGCATCAGAAAGCAGAACTTTCACCTGCTGGTAAGAAGTGAATGCTCGCTGACCCACCGCTCCTGCGGGTCCATTACCAAAGCGACAAAGATGGGTGTGTGGGGCAGCGGTGGGCTCTGTGCACGTCTGTCTGAGCACAAGAGCCTTTCTGTTCCCTGGGCCCTGCCCTTCACCGGTCCTGGTGTTCTTGTCCAGGGTGCCGACCACTGTGGGCAGCCGCCCTGGGTGATGGGTATCCTCTCCGCCCATGACTAACGGCTTCTAGGGATGCGGCAGTGTGTATGAGGTACATGTCCACATGTGGGTGAGTGCCTCCTTTTTGTGGAGAGGGCCTCCTTCTACCCCTCTCTCGGGAGGTCATGCTGCCCTGCTTTGTGATCTCACCCTGGGAATTCTGTCGGATGCATCAGTCAACCTCCACACTCACTCCAGCTCTCTGTGAAGACCAACAGGAGCCATTTATTAATTGGCAGCCTCCCCATGTATAGAATGAGGATAATAAATCGTATCTGCCTCATAGAACTATAGAGAAGAAAGAGTCAAGACATATCTAGTGTTAGACCCAGAGCCATGTGGGTAGTCCGTGCTCAGGAAGTGTCCCGGTTTCCTGTTGCTGCTGTAAGAAGTCGCCACAAATAAGTGGCATAAAATAGCACAAATGTATCACCTTACACTTCTGGAGACCAGGAATCCAAGATGGGTTTTGCTGGGCTAAGATCAGGGTGCAGACAAGGCTATACTCTTCAGAGCCTCTCGGAGAGAATCTGTTTCCTTGCCTTTCCTGGCTTCTAGAGGCCGCCCAGATTCTTTGGCTCGAGGCCCCTTCCTCCACCTTCAAAGCTAGCAGTGTAGCATCTTCAATCTCTCTGACTGCGACCCTACTTCTGTTGTCACATCCCCTTCCTCCTCTGCTTTGGTTTTCGAAGGACCCTTGTGATAATGTTGCATCTGCCCAGTAAATCCAAGATAATCTCCTCCATCTCAGAATCCTTAACTTAATCCCATTGCAAAGTCCCTTTTTGCCATGTCTGGTAACAGATCCACAAGTTCCAGGGATCGGGACGTGGGCGTGGTGGGGGCGGGCCCACCGTAATATGCATTAGCTGCTCTTACAAAATGAAACAGAACCAAACTGGCTAGCTTGGGGATACAAGAGCCAGTAATTTGATCAGCACAGTTACTAATGACGTTTGTTAGGCACATGCTGTGTTAGCTCACTCTTGCCTCAGGGTCTTTGCATCCGGTTTTCCCCCTTCCTGGAGCTTGCTTCTTTCCAGAGAATTGATGGCTGGCACCTCCTTACCCATCAGGCCCCAGATCAGATGTCACCACTCAGAGAGGCCCTCCCTGGTCACCTTTGCTTAGACCAGGCCCGCTGACCCCATTTCCTCTCTCGTACCATATCACCCGTCTCCTTCTTTGACATCATCTGTAACCTTTGTGTGTGTGTGTGTGTGTGTGTGTGTGTCTGTCTGCCCTCTGTGAATGTCAGCTCCAGGGGGGCAGGGGCCTTGTGCATCTTGTTCACAGCTGTTCCAGGACCTGGAACAGTTTGTGGAACAGAGCAGGTGCAGAGTGCCTATCTGTTCATAGATGGCAACCAAGGCTCAGAGAGGCTGAATCATTGCCTCAGGCCAGCGGCGACTGAGTTTACACCCAGGTCTGTCTGCCTCCAGAGTTTTTGCTTCTGTCCAGCTCTGTGCCTCGTGGCCTTGATGTCATCAGAAGCTTCTCAAGCCAGCTCTGGTGACGGCCACAGAACTCCGGCAGGTCTGTCCTCTCTGCCACAGTTTCTGAAAGCGGCTTTTTCAGAACCATCTGCTGGCCACCTTAACGCTGGTTTTCGTATCTAGGTCTGTTGTGTCAAGTCTGGACTCCCCTGCCAAGACTAGCTCCATGGAAAAGAAACTTCTCATCAAAAGCAAAGAGCTGCAAGACTCCCAGGACAAGTGCCACAAGGTATTTATTTCCGCAGCCGGCCTCCCTCCTTGCTCCAGGATCCTCCCATCAATCTATGCCAAGGGATCCGCCCGGGGCCGCTGCTGGCGCTGAGCCACCTGATCCATACCCAGCGGGCGAGGCGCTCCCTCCCTCGCTGAAGTCTCGCCTCCAGCAGCTCAGAGGGAGATGAAATCAGGCCTTGACGTTGCCGTAAATCCTTTAAATCTTAACCAGAGGAGGCCCTGGATTTAAAACGGCCCGTTCCTCAGCATGACCCAGCCAGATGTCTGCTTCTTCCGGCAGGTGGCGTGGGTCCTCACCTGTGGCCGAGATGCATCCCATCCGCTTTGAGTGATGCGAAGTCTCTCTTCTTAGTCCTTTAAAACTCCTGCTTATGTAACTGCGGCCACTGTGTTGACTATGCTCAACGTCTCTTAACGCTCACTGTTCCTGCCTAGGGGCAGCTCTCTGGAAGCTCATAAAACCCACTACTTGCCTGGGACTCCTAAGAGTGCAGACGAATACATATCTCCTTGCCCTGTCCTGGATTTGTCCTCTAGATCTTTGCAAGGAGATGGGGGGGATCAAGATGGATTTGGGATAAAATTAAAGTGACGTGTGCAGAAAGCCAAACTAAACCCAAAAAGCATACAGGTGAAAAATGATGATTGTGGCTTCCTTGCTCACTGGGCTAGAGAAGTGACCAAGTGTGAACCGAGTCTTGGATGAGAGGAGTGACTTAGCATTGGTGACTGTCCTTACGAAGAACTGTGCACTCCCGGGCGAAGAAGCAATGGTATCTCCTTCCCAACCTTTGACGAATTAACGCCAGCCCAGACCACCAGGTGGTTTCGGCGGCTGCTTGAGATTTGATTGCTCCTGACGAACCTCCACGGGCCCTTTTAACCTGTCGATGTGTCTGTTTCAGATGGAGCAGGAAATGACCCGGTTACATCGGAGAGTGTCAGAGGTGGAGGCTGTGCTTAGTCAGAAGGAGGTGGAGCTGAAGGCCTCTGAGACTCAGAGATCCCTCCTGGAGCAGGACCTTGCTACCTACATCACAGAATGCAGTGTGAGCCTTCCCCAAAGTCCCCTTCCCTCGGAGGTGGCACTTCCTGTCGTGTGTGTCTCATCCTGTTTCATGACGGCTTCATGAGGCACATCACAGCCAATGGCAGACAGTAGAGAGAGAGGGAGTATTCAAAGGCAAGGTGTGTGATTGGCAGTGAGCCAGGCGGGAGGTCCCAGAACAGTGAGACTGGGCTCCAGGAGTCCAGGTAGGCTGCGGAGCCTGGATACTGTCATAGTTGTCACCGCAGTGAGCTACAGAGGGTCCTAACACCTCCCGTCCCAACCTCTCTGGTCTATATCCTGTCCAACACGATCAGCCTCAGGAACCCAACTCTTAAATAAACAAATCCGCCCAAGATCAGTTTTCCATCACCTAGAATCAGTGTAGCAACAAGAAGACTCAGCCTGTAAAAACCCAGACCCTCTGTCATTATTTACCATGTGACTTTTTTTTTTTCTCCTTTCCTTCACAAGAGTAGACTGTCTTCTCCATTGTCTCGTTAAATTTTTCATTCAGGTGTTTTTTTTAATGTGGCCAATTAAACAGTCTTAAGAAGTTGAATCCCACATTTTTCAAGTTTTTTTCACAAGGGAGAAGGAAATCTATAGAACGTGGCCGATTAAGAATAACTGCTATGTTTCCATTCCAGATTTGGCTGCCTTTCAGTGGTGGGTGAAGTTGTATTTCAGATATGTATTTCAGTGCCACTGAAGCATTGAGGGAACCTTATGGATGAAAGGTGTCCAGGAGACGTAAGCCAGGAGGTGGAAATAGACTTCTCGGAGTCTTAAATGACAACTAGGGAAGAAGGAAGTCATTGCTGCTTTGAAAGAGGGACCTATACCGGAGAGCCCTCTAATAACTGATATTCCAGAAAAGACTCTGTAGCTGTCCCCATGGTGGTTTAACAAAAGGCTAAGGGACCTCATTGGTTTTTAGTCCTGAACGTACAAGTAAGTATCTGGTAGGACAGGTAGATGGCGGTAGGAGGCAGGTTGTGATGAAGTTTCAGGCTGGACCCACGAGGTCACAAGGTTGAGATGGTGATTCTTGAACCAAAGGGTTTTTACAGGATGAAAACCGGAGCCAGCAACCAACTGGAAGTTGTCAACTTTGCTCCGTCACCCGAAACCGTCTTGGTGTCCGCGAAGCAGCTTGCAGCTCCCTTAATGAATCTTTTCAAACAGAGCAGGCACCACAGGGCATCCCTATTAAAATTTTTGCTTTCCTTAGAGCTTAAAGCGAAGTTTGGAGCAAGCACGGATGGAGGTGTCCCAGGAGGATGACAAAGCGCTTCAGCTTCTCCATGACATCAGAGAGCAGAGCCGGAAGCTCCAGGAAATCAAAGAGCAGGTATGACCTGATGCTGGGGAGCAGGGCTGCACCTCGGACCTCTGATTCCAAGAGCGGCGTGTTTGGGCGGGTGGGGGGAGGGTGGAGAGAGGGAAGCGGGGGTTGGGAGGAGGAGAGAGAGCTATGTAGGTCATTTGAAAACTAGATTCTCCGTGGTTTATGTAAATGGTGGAGCGCGTGTTCTAGCTCCTTTTGAGGTCTGCACCCCATCCTGGCTGCTCATTTCACTTAAAGGTGTAGGTTTAGAACAAAGGTGGCCAAACTGCGGCCTATGGGGCAAATCTGGCTCACCACCTGTTTTCCATGGCCACATGCTCAAATTGATTTTTGCGTTTTTAACTGGTTGGGGGGGGAAAAAGAAAAGAAAAGAAGAATATTTCAAGACATGTGAAAATTATACGGAAAATTATGTGGATGCTTGGTTCAGCATCCATAAACAAAGTTTTATTGGAACACAGCCGTGCCCATTCATTTATGTGGTGTCCGTGGCTGCTTATGACACTACAATGGCAGGGGTGGGTAGTTGGGACAAAGACCATATGGTCTACAAAGCCAGAGATGGCTGACTGTCTAGCTTTTTAGAGAAACAGTTTGCCAATCTCTGCTTGAGACCACCAAAAAAATGAAATACTTTTACATAGCTTCTCAGATGCACTTTAAGTTTTTGGGAAAAGACAGGATAAGTCGTAGCGTCTATAAAGATATAGAAGAAGAGTTGGAGCAGCGAAAGCCGAGTCAGAATTAACGCGGGGAATCTGAGTGCAGAAAGCCATCCCCTGAGTGTTCAGAAAAGAGAATCAAGATGTTTAAAAAGCTTACTCTCTCTCTCTCTTTTCCTTTCTAAAAGGGTTTTCTTTTTAGATGGTTCATTTTTACTTCGCCTCATTGTTTCCTTTTTAGCATGGATTTTTCTGTCCTTTGAAGAAACTGTAAATAGAAACTTTAATGAAGAGATGGCAGTGAGCAATTGGAGAGCTGAATTATCAGCTGCCAGGCAACTCTCATTCATTTCAGGAAACCTAATGGAAGCAGCGATGGCAATGAACATTTTTGTCTCTGGGTGGCACAAACTTAGCCATCTGGGTGGTGCTAATACAAGAAACTCCTGCAAATCATTCGGTCCATTAACTCTTCTTTAAAGATGGAATGATTGTTTTGGGGACTTTGTTGGCCTGATCTCTTTATCACCTTAATATTTTAAAGTGGTTAGTTAGGGGCGCCTGGGTGGCGCAGTCGGTTAAGCGTCCGACTTCAGCCAGGTCACGATCTCGCGGTCTGTGAGTTCGAGCCCCGCGTCGGGTTCTGGGCTGATGGCTCAGGGCCTGGAGCCTGTTTCCGATTCTGTGTCTCCCTCTCTCTCTGCCCCTCCCCCGTTCATGCTCTGTCTCTCTCTGTCCCAAAAATAAATAAATGTTGAAAAAAAAAATTAAAAAAAATAAAGTGGTTAGTTAATATCCTCCTGCTTGATAAAGATGTTATAAATAACCTGCAAAGGAAATGTTGCAATCTATTCTGAACACCAATACTAATCTTAGAGATTTTGAAGGTTACAGAGAGTTTGAAAAATCTGCTCTGACAGTTGACTCATTGCCCCTTTTATCAACATAGTTTTTCATCCTAAAAGTTTCAAGAGATAGGATTCTTTTTCTCCCATTAGTTCAATGTGTTTTGGAGATTTGCTTTTTGGTGACATCCTGGGGAAATGAAAGCTGCATTTGGCCAGCAGAGGGAGCAGCTGGTGTCCGTGAATTCCATAGAAACTGAATTATCAGGACATTTTGAAAAGGTGCATGCTGGTGGTTGAGTTCAAAGAATTGTCTTTGATGATTCATACCACAGTTGGCATACATGTGGAGGTTTAGATTTAATGATTGCTAAAAGTTCCGCGGGGCGGGGTGGGGGTGGGGCAGAAAACTTCTCAGTTTCGGATTTTATTTCTCGTCGGAAGATGGATCTATTAAAGTGAGTTTTGGGAGACCGCGATGTCTGCAGTCCAGGAGCAAGCATTTCCTGCTCTTCAGCAGACCCATAGTAGTTGGTTTGCAGCATGTCCATTCCTCCCAGATTTGGCATTTATTCCCCACTGTTTCTCTCAAAAGCTAATTTCCATACAGCTATTTATTATTTTATTTTCTAAACATTTTGCTTCTGCCTAGCTACCCCCTGTAGAGTGTTTGCATTTGGTGTAAAATAAAAACACCTAAGAGCCTTACATGACAGTTGGATTCAGGCACCATTACTAGAGATGACTGATGCCCTTTGCCCTTCCTCAGGAAGGGAAGTGGAAGTCTGGGTCACACAGAAGGCACTGGTGTTTTGGGATTTCTGACTGAATAGGACTATGTCTGATACTATCTTCCTATGATATCTGAGGCTCCATTCAGAAGACTTACTTTGTGTGGACCTCGAACGTTGTCCATGGTTCCCCATCTTGACCCCACTCAACGCTGGCCTACAATCCATCCCATGCTGAGATACAACTGTTGTCTCTCCTTGGAAACAGATCTGATTCTTTTCTCTCAGACTTTTTCCTGAAGCAGGGATTTGGTTAGCTGTTGGATTCATAGGATTTCCTTGATACAGGCGGCATAATAACAGCAGCTCAGCAGATGAGGTGGAATAAGCTGTGTACCCCAAGAGCTCAGAATGCTGATAGAGATGTTGTCTGATTCTTGCCTTCCTCCCCCTGGGTGCTGACAGCTCAGGAAAGAGAAACGTTGAGGGGACGGAACAACTCTCTGTCCTTGCTCTTGACAAAACACGAAAATTACATTCCCTTCTCACTATTTCCAGACAGAAAAAGGAGCTTGAGGATAAAAGATGCCCAAGATTTTCTCTCAGAACTTTGCTTCCACTACAGCTTGGTGTTTGTGCCTGTGAGCAGGGCCACAGTAGTTTTAGGGACCCATAAAATGTTTACCTTTTTTTTTTTTTTTTTTTTTTTTTAATCAGAAGATAAAAGTTGAGCTTTTAGGTCAAAGGAACTTTTTCATAGATAATATTAATGTTTTTGTCTTTATATGAATGCTGTTGTAAAATAGATTTTTTTTTTAAAAAAAAAGGTTTATTTTTGAGAGAGTGCAATGCTGGAGGGGCAGGTGAGGGACAGAGGATTTAGCGGGCCCACACTGACAGATCGAAGGAAATAGATGGGGCTCCACCAATGAACTATGAGACTTATCGACCTGAGCCAAAGTCAGACGCTTAACCGACTGAGCCACCCAGATGCCTCTAAAATATAGTTTTTAATACTTTTTTTTTAATGGAGGAAGGGGTGCAGGAAGGCACGGTGCCCAGAGTCTTTCGAAAGTCATAGCGCATTTCTGACCAAGGGGTCTAGAAAGTAACAGATGTAAATAAAGGATATATCATTTCACATAATTCGGTTCATGTTCCACTCTGTCAGTTCAGATAATTGTGAGCAGCTTATGAAGACCTTTGGTTATATAACCTGTGTCACCCACTTAGTATGCATCACCCAGAAAACCTGGTGCCCCGTGACTTCTGGGCTTGACCTTCAACAATAGTATGCTTATGGGTGGGAGGGAGTGAAATGAGACCATGCTCCACTCTGGACTCATTTTTTTCCCCTTCCCAGTTATACAGAGAGGTGTGCTTGCATGGAAACTATCCAATTTTCATAAGAGTATCACCTCGGCTTTAATGTGCATCTGGGGGTATTGCTTGGTACAATGGGATGAAAGGTTTGCTTTCTACCCTGCTACTGAAAAAACCAATTATTGTTTTTACTGGTTAACATGTCCTTGTTCAAGTGATACCGCTTCAATTATTTCTTGGGAGAACAGATCTTAGAGATGTATATTGTGAGTATCAAAGATAGTCTTGATTCAATTCCTTGTTCTTTTCATTTTGTATCCCTACCCCTGCCTCAAGGCACCTTTGACTGGCTCCATTCTCATTCAAATCCTAATATGCATAAGCTTTGGTTTTGCTAACAGAGAATATTTTCATACTTCGCCCCAAAGTTTTCAAAACCACTGCCCATTTCTCCTGGTAAATCCAATTTTTGAAAAACCAATTCAAATGTTCTGTTTTGATTTTAGAAATTCATTTTGGAAAAGGTCAGGCTGTTTGGATCACTTTAGAGGTTTGCTCAAGGGAAAAAGATAATTCTTTCTCCGGAGTTGTCCTCACAAGTTATTTTGACCAGAGCCAGTGCTTTCTGACTCTTCCAGATTTCTGGGTGACTTGCATTTCAAGAGCAACGTTAAGTTCATCATTCAGTTTTGGGCCCAGAGAAATTAATGGTGAGAAACCGACATGATGAGTTTCACCTTCCAAGAGTCTTTCCACGGAGATTTCCAATTACCCCCTTGTGCAGTCTGAAAGGTTAATTTTAAAACTAGTACCATATCTAATTGTGTTAGGAGCACATGACTTCTAAAGGACAAATCTATATAAATGATTACCCTTGGAGGAAAGCTACATGTAAGCAGTTTATCCTGGTGGTTTAAAGAACATCCCTTTCAGCTCTCCTGTGTTGCAGATGCCTTAAGGTTCTGTGCTACTTGTGCAGTATTATTTGCTCAGAGGATCTTATTAGGTACAGGCACATGTGTTCCAAATGGTGTTACTAATGATACATGATCTACGTTAAAATAGTTGAAGGATTTAATGTTCTTTGCTTCTTCCTCACCCTCCCCACACCTCTCCCTTCTGCCTGTCGCTGTCCACCTTTTCCCCAGGTCTCTTCTCTGCCAGTCAGCCTTCAATGTGCATCTTCCCTCCGTGGTCCATGGTCTTCTGTCTTCACTGCCTGTCTTTTCTTTTAGGAGTTCTAAAGTTCGTCCTTCTTCCCTTGCCTGCTCTTTAGGAGTACCAGGCTCAAGTGGAAGAAATGAGGTTAATGATGAATCAGCTGGAAGAGGACCTCGTTTCAGCGAGGAGACGGAGTGATCTCTATGAATCGGAGTTGAGAGAGTCTCGGCTTGCTGCTGAAGAGTTCAAGCGGAAAGCCACAGAATGTCAGCATAAACTGATGAAGGTAGCCAGCCACCTGCCAGAAGGCTGTTTTGGGGGGTAGACTCCTGGATGGTCTTTGCAAGAATAAAGGGAATACTAGCTTAATCAGTGTACGTTTGGGGAATAATGGAATACTCTGCAAAGCTCCTGGTCCTTATTTATAGAAGATAACTTATTTATCATCATCATCATCATTATCATTATTTGGCCACAGAAAACGGCCAAATAATTTCTATTTCTTGGTAGAAAGTACAGCAGGCGGTGTTGTCTTTATACGACTTTAAGGCTCTTGAGATTTCCCAATATGTTTTATCTCTTAAATTACAGGCTAAGGATCAAGGGAAGCCTGAAGTGGGAGAATATTCCAAACTAGAGAAGGTATTTTCCATTATTGGTGTTGCTGTTTTTGGTAGATAATCTTTTAAATGCTATTCTCCATGGCCAGTCATTGCTTAAGAATGCTTTTGCAATGGACCGAGAACTCTTCTTCTAGGTTTATTTTGATGGCCAATCTGTGGGCAAGCATGTTTAACTTAGGTGTGGTTCCAGGAGGGGTACAAGACACCTCATTTTTTATCATGCCCGATCAGAGTAACATACAAACCGAGACTCTTAGGAAAACACACGTGAAAATTTCTATAGTCTTAAGGCACCGGCAACTTCGATTCTCTTGCCGTACGTATGTTGCTGGTTCTAGGGAGATTGTCAGCATGGAGGTTTGCATTGGGACATTCAAAGCCTTTTCTGATAGGCCACTGGTCTTCCTCTCCATTAGTAGGCACTGGAAAACAGAACAAAAAGACCCCAGAGAAACCTTCAGAAAATAGAACTGCGCTAAATGTAGCAAGACGTTAATGCCAATTTACCTTTTGCTTTATTTCCCGGGATTTTAATTATAGATCAATGCTGAGCAACAGCTCAAAATTCAGGAGCTCCAAGACAAGCTGGAAAAGGTAAGCCTGAGGTGATTTTTTTGGGAGAACTTACTCCTCATTTCCAAATACTTTTCGTTGCCTTGTCCCAGAGCCTGAAAGATGAGAGAGACCGAATTAGTCAGCCAGCACCGAGGAAAATGAAGGGGGAGTGAGCTATTACCTGAAAATATCAGAGCTCTGAATATAGTTTTTTTCCTTTTGAGACATGTCAGCAGTGTTTATTTTTAAAAACCAAGCTGTGCGAGACACTCAAGTAAAAGTTCTAATTATACTACGACAGAACCCAAGAGGCCAAGAGGCCAGCTTCTTTCCCTTCAGGGGGCCAGGCTCCCTGTTCTGCACATTTGTAAGAGAGGCAGGTGTTGTTCATGACCCAAACTGCTTTCAGTGAGAAACTGTGGGCAGCATTCCTGCCCACTGGAGGGCTGGGGAGAACTGGGGAGTCAGCTTGGGGTGGGGGAGGGGGTGCGTTCGGTTTACACCATCCTGTGCATTGGTGGCTAATGACCCTCCTCTCAGCCAAACACTGGAAATGCCAACGAAAAGACCGTAATGAATGTGATTCTGAGACATGCCTGTCGCATCAGGAATGCGAATGTGTTTCCTGGCCTGGTTTAATAGAGCCTCTTCTTACTTTTTTCTTTTAGGTTGTGGTTAAAAAGCACGTAACACTAAATTTACTGTCTCTGAAGTGCTGTCATTTTAAGTATAGAGTTTGGTAGTGTCGTGGACATTCACACTGTTGTGCAGTGAATCCCTAGAACTTTTTCCATCTTGCCAAACTGACTCTTTAACTGCTAATTCTCCTTCCTTCCTCTCCCTAGCCTTTGGTAAACCACCGTTCTCCCTCTGTTTCTGTGATGTGGACTACCTCAGATACTTCATATGAGTAGTATCATACAATATTTGTTCTTTTGTTAACTGGCTTATTTTGCTTAACGTGATGTCCTTGAGGTCCATCCACATTGTAGTGTGACAGGATTTCCTTTTTTTTTTTTTTTTTTTTTTTTTTTTAATGTTTATTCATTTTGAGAGAGAGAGTAGGGTACAGGGGGAGAGAGAGAGAGAGAGAGAGAGAGAGAGAGAGAGAGAGAGAGAGAGAATCTCAGGCAGGTTCCGCACTGCCAGTGCAGAGCCTGACATGGGGCTTGATCTCAGGAAGCGTGAGATCATGACCTGAGCCGAAATCAAGAGTGGGACGCTTCTCCGACTGAGCCACCCAGGCGCCCCAGGATTTCCTTCTTTTGAAAGGCTATGTGTGGTGCCTGGGTGGCTCAGCTGGTTGGGCATCCGACTTCGGCTCTGGTCATGATCTCACGGTTAATGGGTTGGGCTCTGTGCCGACAGCTCGGAGCCTGGAGCCTGCTTCGGATTCTGTGTCTCCCTCTCTCTCTGCCCCTTACCAGCTTGCACTCTGTCTCTCTCTCAAAAACAAATAAATAAACTTAAAAATAAATAAAGGCTGTGTGATATTCCACTGTGTGGATAGACCACATTTTCTTTCTCCCTTAATCTGCCCCTTCTTACCTATCCTTGAGCTCAGTAATGAAAGCCTCTCCCATCCTCTTTCAGCTAGAAGTTTGTATGAGGATTCATGTTTCCGTCTAGAACTGTGTTCTACACTACAAGTGTGATGCCAACCACACATGTCAGCTCCTGGTGTAGTTTTAAATTTTCTAGTAACCACATTAAAAAGGCAAAAAGAAACAGATGAAGTTATTTGAATGATACAGTTTATTTAATCTGATATATCCAAAATATCATTGCTGCATGTGTCAATACTAAAATATTTACACTGTTTCAGCTTTTTTTTTTTTTTAATTTTTTTCAACGTTTTTTATTTATTTTTGGGACAGAGAGAGACAGAGCATGAACGGGGGAGGGGCAAAGAGAGAGGGAGACACAGAATCGGAAACAGGCTCCAGGCTCCGAGCCATCAGCCCAGAGCCTGACGTGGGGCTCGAACTCACGAACCGCGAGATCGTGACCTGGCTGAAGTCGGACGCTTAACCGACTGCGCCACCCAGGCGCCCCTGTTTCAGCTTTTAAATGAATTAAAACATAAGTAAAACTGAAAATCAATTTTCCAGTCACACCAACCACATTGTAAGTGCTCAGGGGCCATGTCTAGCTAGTGACTCCCATATTGGATGGTGCTAGTGTTCAAGTTTTCTTTGCAGTTTTTGCTTTTTAGAAGCAGGTAAGTGTGAGACTATTGGTTTCTTATGCTCAGATCTTTGCTCTGATGCTATAAGAGCTACAGTATAGTTAAGACCCAAATGAAAATTAACTTCCAAAGGTTTAGCTGTTTTTTTCTTTCAAGCACAGATTTATGAATTACCAGTGCATCTATGGCTGTTATATCCTTTGGCAGGTATTTATTTGAAAAAAAAAGTTTAAAGTATAGTTTTTATTTTGTTTTCTTATAAAAGTAGTAAAAAAAATCCCTAATTAGCAAAGGAGATAATTAAGTAAGGTGAAAATTAATGCTGTGAGGCATTAACACCTGGGCAGATAAGTCCACTAGACCCTTTTTGTTTACATTTACTACGTTGCACTGAAGCTAAGGTACTAATGATCATCAGATACACCTTTATCTGCGCACCCCAAGAAGGAAAAATTGCTGTCCATTTTAACTGTAAGATGCATTCCAAATTCAGTGATGTGCGCTTGGGCATAGACAAAAATACAGAATCAAGTGAATGTTTACAGGTTTTGAAAATGGATATGATACATATATACTTCGCATTACCTGACTTTTCTTGTTGAGGAGATTGTCACCATCTTTTCATGTGAGTAAGTCTGGCCATCTGTCTCCTGTCCCTCCTCTCCGGGCAGGCTGTAAAAGCCAGCACAGAGGCCACTGAGCTGCTGCAGAATATCCGCCAGGCAAAGGAGCGAGCCGAGCGTGAGCTGGAGAAGCTGCAGAACCGTGAGGACTCCTCTGAAGGCATAAAAAAGAAGCTGGTGGAGGCCGAGGTGAGCAGGGGACCTCAGCCCACGGTGGACTGAGCCTGGGTCCCGGTGTGGCCGCCTGTGAGCTGCTGACCAGCTTTGGGCCGTGCGGAGGGAAAGACACTGCAGAACCACCTCTTGCTTATGTCTGGCCAAACCACTTTCCCTTCTGCAAATCCTTTGAAGCTTGAGAGGAGTGGCAATGTTTTCCCCAAAAGGGAAAAAGAGATGGGTCACAGCAGCTTCAGGTAGAAAGATGTTCTGCTAAAAGCTTTGCCTTTCTGTTTTCCTCGGACCTCACTATGCTGCGAGGATTTGTGTTCAGTAGATGAAGTGTAATTCCATCCTGAGTTTTCTTCCCTCTGCACCCTTGTTTTTCCTTGCCTCTTCCCCATGGTGTTAATAACATTATTTTTCAAGGCTTCACCTGTTACCCGTGTGTCGATGGCCCCCAGGCCTAGATTTTGGGCCTCTTCTCTCCCTCGAATTCTTTGTTGTTGTTGTTGTTGTTGTTGTTGTTGTTGAAATCTTTGAAATAATTATACAGGGAACACATGAGTATCATCTTGTTGTAAAAAATTTGAACAGTACTGAAGAATATAGAATAAAAAGTAAACTTGCCCTTCACTCCGCCTCCCCGCCGCCGCCGCCTCCTCGGTGATGGTTCCACAGAACAGATCGGAGTTGATTTAACCATCCCCCCACCCCGTTGCTGGGCCCTCTGCTTTCCCTGCCTCGGTGCCGGCTGGTGCATCAACTCTAGAATGAACTCAGTATCTTCCCCCACGAGTGGGGCTCCCTTCTTAATCTCCTCATGCCAGCCAGGGCCACTGTCATTTATCTGGTCACACCCTGGCTTGAAACTTTGACATCGTTGACTTCTCCTTGCCCCCCTGCCATTCAGTGAGCCACTCAGTCCTATAAATCCAGCCACGCTGTCTCCCCCCGCACCTCCCCTTTACCCCTGCTTGCCATTTCTGTGGGCCTCCTCGTGGTCCAGGCCTTCTTTCCCTTAGATGAGCACACTAAGTAATTTCTTGGCCCTCCGCTCCCCATCTTCCCTTCCCCCCAGCTGGCTCATATGATATAAGACTCATGGGCCTCCACACAAGGCTCATCAGCACCCCCTGCCCCATCCCAAAGCTTTTAGAGCTTCTCTATGCCCTGTGTGCACCCCTCAGCTTGGTACATGAGACTCTGAACCATTTGACTCACAAGTGCCCCCTTTCAGCTTTTCTGCTACTCTGTCCCCTAAAGCATCTTATGCTGAGCCATGGGAGGCTTCGCCTCAGCCTAAACTGGCTGCCTACCCCTCCGTATTTCTGCTAATGCATCTGCCTTCATCCGAAGGGCCTTCCACCCTTACCTCCCACCCTCTGCCCTCCAAAGCTCACATCTCTGTGACTTCTCCCTTCAGCTTTCGGTGAAAAGGCCTCTCTCCTGCCTGCAGCCTCCCACAGCACTCTGTACCTATTTTCTGTATGGCCCTTCCCCGTCTTAACCTATATTATGTTTCTTTGTGTTTGTCTTATCTTTTCCAAGGGCAGGAATTATGTCGGCTTCGCCTCCGTATTTTCCGTGATGCCTAGTGTGATACTTTGCAGATAGTAGGTGCTTGGTAAATATTTGAATGAATGAATGCACTCTTGTAACCCACACAACCGAGTACTTGGATTCTAGAAATCTTATTTTTTCTCACTGTTGCTTCGGATACCCGAGACTTCTCTTCCTGCCTTGCGCGTATGCTTCTCGAGGCCGCTCTCCCTCGGTGCAGGCGCTATGCCCATAGCGGTTACTCCATTAAAACTCTCTGATTGATTCATGATCTACAGGAACGCCGCCATTCTCTGGAGAACAAGGTAAAGAGGCTAGAGACCATGGAGCGTAGAGAAAACAGACTGAAGGATGACATCCAGACAAAATCCCAACAGATCCAGCAGATGGCTGATAAAATTCTGGTGAGCAGGAACAAAAGCTGAAAAGTTAAAAGACCAACAGGTTAGAGGTTGCAGAGGGAAGGGGGTGAAAAGAAGAACGGCCTGCCGTCAACAGGGGAGGTATCTCCGAGTAGGCGAATGGAGAGAAGTGGTTTCAGTGTCTGCCACATTCCTAGGATAGCACGAATAACGAAATGTCGGACGTTTCAGCACCGGTAACAGATCCGTAATTATTACTTTTCTGCTCTGTTTGCTACTGCCTGACATTTTAAAAACACGAACGCGCATCCTCTGTCATTTCCGTTAAACGTTTTTACGGGAGCATTTACGTACCACCATCAGTAGAGTTTTGTATGGCTGTTAACTTTGCGAGGCCAACTTTAAAAAAAAAAAAAAAAAAAAACAGCAGGGATTTAGACCTTTAAGACCAAAGCCCAGATTTTTGCTTTTGGAGAAGAAAGAAATTAGTCACGCAGGGTTGTTTTTCTCAGAGTAGTATTTGTCATAGATCCGTGTTCACCCACTCACTCTCTCTGCCACATTCCGTTATTAGGATTGTTCCCCGCCCCCCTCCTTAATTTCCTTAGATGTAGCAGGTCTTTTTTTAGGTTTGTAAATCATCATGATTCTGTTTTCGGCTCTGGTGACCAGATTAACTTCATCAAGGAAGTCTGGCTCTGGGAGTACTTGCAGATGTGTTGAAGTTTTGTCCCAGGCAGGTGAACTTTTTGAAAGGACTGTCCTTGGATCTCAGTCCCCAAGCCAGGAACGTGTGCCCCGTTTGGGAGTCTTAGTGATGACATGGAGTCTGTTCATGGTCCCTTCCCCCTGCCCCTAGGGGACCCTCTGGGGTGGGTGACTGTTCCTTTCTGCCATAAGGAGGCGAGGCGGTGAGCAGGGCCCTGCACCTCTCTCTGTCATCTCTGCATCACTTCTGGGAATTGAGTCACCTGCAGCCAAATGAACTCAAGAATGGCCAACTTACAGGCCTGCCCTTAATACCAAAACTACCTCCCAAGCCCTTCAAAACTTTGCCTGTCTATGTTTGCATATATGCACGAAGATACGGATGCTCTTGAGCAAACAGGTGAAAGAGAGATTGGTTAAATTGTTTTGCTTTGACACACAGTCTTCGTATATACGTCTGCACACAGAGGCAAATGTGACCGTTAGTCTGCCCTTTCTGTTCTCTTGTTCCCTCATCAGAGTTTCTCTTGGCGATTGTCAAGTGTGTGAATTTTATCGTGAGTAAAATTAGATCCCACCAAGATCCCACCACTCTATCCCTTGCTTGGTGCAAACAAAGTGGTTAAGTCTCTTGTGGTTGCAAAGTGTTTCTCTGTTTAATGGCGATGTGTTCATTCATTCATTCAACAAATATTTAATGAGCTTCTACTATGTGCCAAGCACTGTTCTAGGAGCTGGAAATGTAGCAGTGAACAACAGTGTTTGCATAGCAGGACCAAAGAGTCTGATCTTATACGTATAAGCAAAGTTAACATTTTAAAAAAATGACAACAACAACAAAAAATGCCAAACCACCAAGAAATCAGATTTAGGATATCTACTTTTCCAAAGATTCACTTGCAATTAAAATGTAGGAGCATAGACTTCTCTGGACTTTTGGATTCTGTGTTGTAAACTCCCATCCATACATAGATCAGAAACTGGGTGTTAAAAGTTCTCAGGTTCAGGTATCTGAGCATTTGACCTATTTTTAGATTCTGCTTTCCGTTCCTGTGCTGTCTTAGGAGGACTGAAACTAAGAAAAGATGATTATCAAGTGATTCCTAACATAAAGAAAGAGCAAAACAGATTTCTTTGTTCAAGGGTATCTTGCCACCTGCCCAAGCACCTTTGTGGTTGTGCCTTCATTTATCGGAAAGTGCCTGTTGCTCAAGAACCATGTGCTGACAGGCTGTGAAATATCCAGGACATGGGCAAAGGAGGTCCTTAATACTGTTATATAATGATGGTGCTTGGAAACAGATCCCCAAATGTCAATTGCTTTAAAATATTTGCTATTCTGATAAGACTTTTCACAACAGGTAATTGGGGTTCTCATGACAGCAAAATCTTTTGCTTAACTGGAAGAAGTCATTGCAGGAGATCCTTTAGTGCACATAAAGCCCTTAAAGTATGTTTTTATTAATTAAGATCCTGTTTACATTCAACTTCTCAAGATCACATCTGTTGCATTGCAATAGATCTTGTGCACCTGCTCTTAAAATTGAACACTTTACTGGCCCCCGAAGCAAAGTCAGTGCTGTAGACTTTAGAATTTCAAAAGCTTAATCAGTAACATTTTATGTGCATGTGAATCTGAAAGTATTTTTTCCCCATTTTATGGGCACATCCTGTATAATTTCCTCATTCTTCAGAATGCTCATAATTACTTCCACTTCAAGGAAAAATTTCAAAACAATGTGAAGAGATGAAAACTTGGAGTGATAACTTTATATATTAGTAATTAACTAATGGGTCCAGATTCACAAGAATTAATGTAGATGCAGATATCTGCAGTTTACAGAGTGTTTCAGTGGATTGAATGCCACCTTTTGTAAGAATCAGTTTATGATACATTAGCAAGTGAATTGGTATAATTTTCAAATGAATTACAATTTTGTTTAAAAGCAGAAATCTTAGAATGAAGGGAACATGGAATCCAAACTATTTATATTCCTCCAAATTCTCTTCCCGTCTTTAATATATATGCATACATATTTACATCATTATTATCAGTGTATTTTATGTTCTACTGTTTCCATTAGCTCTGTGTCCTATAAACCTGATATGATGTGAATGTCCCCAGACAGTCACATTCTCCACACACCAGTTAAAAAAAAGAAAAAAAATCATTCCAACTTCCAAGTGTTTGAACTGTAACATTAGTTTTCTTCACAGCTAGGGCTCTTGAGCAGTCACGTTGATAATCAGGAAAATATAAAATATTTTTTCTCATAAAAACGCAATTTGGAAGTTAAAAGAAATTAAAGATACTTTTCTCATTTAAGGGACAATGAAAATGGCCTGAGGCTCAAGACAGTGGTCAGGGGCTTTGTGCTGCACTAAACTCTCAAATGTTGCCTTGTGACTGCCATTTCTCTGTGCACAGGTGAAGAGCTGCCTTTGTTTGTCTGACCTGTCACACGACAGAGTTCTGATCCCAGCCCACCAGCTATGTGTGTATGTGTGTGATTACTTGGACCTGGAAAACCCAGGGCCAAGGATGGGTGGTGGTTTCCTTCCCAAGAGCCTTAGGGCTAGTAAGGAAGGAACACGTGCCTGTTGCTTGTGGTACCGGTGCCAGAGTCATGTTTCCTGTGAATGTCTACACACATGAGCTATGTCTTCCCCTTTGCACACCTGACCGCCTGTTCTTTTGTGTCCAGGAGCTGGAGGAGAAGCACCGCGAGGCCCAGGTCTCAGCCCAGCACCTAGAGGTGCACCTGAAACAGAAAGAACAGCACTACGAAGAAAAAATTAAAGTAAAGACACTTTCTGATCTCCCCCAGCATTCTTCCTATGGCACGACATAGCTTCCTGGGCACTTTGGGTCACTTCTTGCTAGACTAGAGGACTGTTTGGGGTGAATGCTGTCCTCAGGCCATGGTGGGTGGTTTCGGGGTGTTACCCATGTGGGGGTCTTGATATGCAATGTTCAAAAACAATTTTTTAAAAAATTTTGTTATTAGTCTCAGTTCTGTCTTGAACATATTTTCACCCCACTATCATTTGGTCCATGATAATTTAGATTTAGCCACAGACTCACCATCTTTGCTTTTAATTTCCTTCCTGCATCTCAGACCTGATCATTTTCCTTTTGTTTAAAGTATATCCCAGATGACTTTCTTGAGTGAAGACCTGCTGGTGACAAGTTCTCTGTTCTGTGTGTCTGAAAGAATCTTTGTATCATCCTCATTCTTGAAAGGTGTTTTGACTGGGGACAGAATTCTGCGTTGGCAGTGATTTCTTAGCACATCCTTTGAAAATAACATTCCATCGACTTTTGGCTTCTATTATTGCTAATGAGAAGTCAGCTGTCAGTCTAACTGTTGCTTGCTTTGAAAGTGTTGATCTTTTTTCTTTGGCTGGTTTTAAAATTTTGCTCTATCTTTTGTTTTCTAAAGTTTTTAGTGTGATGCATCTAAATGCAGATTTATTATTTATCTTGCTTGAGATAAACAGGACTTTTAAATATATTGGTATCTTTTAAATTTAACAAAATTTTTTTAATGTTTAGTTTTGAGAGAGACAGAGGCAGAGTGCAAGTGGCGGAGGGACAGAAAGAGACAGGGAGACACAGAATCTGAAGCAGGCTCCAGGCGTTGAGCTGTCAGCACAGAGCCGGACCCAGGGCTTGAACACATGAACCGTGAGATCATGACCCGAGCCGAAGTTGGATGCTTAACTGACTGAGCCACCCAGGTGCCCCTATCTTTTATCAATTCTGGAAAATCATTGGTCACTATATCTCCCATATTGTCTCTTCTCCTTCCTTCTTCCTTTTTGAGAATTTGAGTAGGCATCACCTCTAACTTTTTTCATATTTTCCATTTCTTTCTCTTTTGGTGCACATTGTGGGTAAGTTCTGGCTGATTTTCTAGTTTACTAATTCTTACCTGTCAAATCTGCTGTTAAACCTACCAGTGAGTTTTAAATTTCAGTTACTGTATTTTTGGTTTCTAAACATTTTATTTGGCTCTTTTGCAAGTTTACTAGATTATTTAAGACAATAATTTTCTATTCCCTACATTCATTTTAAAGCTTGTCTTCTGTTTCTTTAAACACATTAGCATAGTTTTTTATGTTCTTTATCTGATAATTCCAATATCTGTTCTGTCTGAAGGTCTGTTTCTGCTCCACTGTTTTTCTTCGTTGTTTCTCATGGTGCCTGTCTTCTTGTGTGCTTGGTCAGTTGCTCATTTTCCTTCGAAAATTATTAATGAGAATTCTTTGAGACTTTGAATGCAGATGTGTGCCCCCTTTGGGAGTGGTTCTGGGCTCAGATTTCTCTATCTTCTTACTCTTTGAAGCTATTAAAAATGAAGCTCAAGTTTATTTGGTTCAGCAAATGCCTCAAGTTAAAAACAGCTTGTGTCCTTCTTAACTCTCCAGGTTTCTGCTTTCACTTAGGATTTTAGTATCTAGTTTCTTACTCTCTTGCCAACTTTGGGGAAAATGTTTTCTGTATTTTATCTAGTATTTTAAATCATTTTCCATAGAAGAGCTGTTAAATTCAGTTATTATTTCAATTATTGAAATTATTATTTCAATTCAATTATTATTAATTCACTGATCAGAAAAAACGCGAGCTTATCTGTTTCCTTTTAAAAGCACATCACATTTTCATTATGTTTTTGGACAAAGTCTTTAACTCAGTTTTTGTGTTCCTGAGAATCAGACATTGGTCATTACATCTCAAATATTGCCTCTTCTGCTTCCAAATCAGACAATTAAAGGAGGCTTTTAATTTTTTGATGATCCTGTTATTGATTCGGTTGGTCTTTTCTGTTCCTTTTTTTGGAGAACCAAACATGTACATGCCCACGCAGTATCAGCATCATCACCACCCTGGTCATCCCCCTGCCCCCCCCCTTTTTTTTTTTTTTTTTTACCCCTGGTGTTACTTTTGGTTATTTTAATTAAAAAAACACAGAGGTCAAGTAGCTTAAGTGTTAACATCCGACTTCAGCTCAGGTCATGAACTCGTGGTCTGTGAGTTTGAGCCTTGTGTCAGGCTCTGTGCTGACAGTCAGAGCTTGGAGCCTGCTTTGGATTCTGTGTCTCCCCCTCTATCTGCCCCTCCTCTGCTCATGCTCTGTCTCTCTCCCTCTCAAAAATAAACAAACATTAAAAAAAATTTTTTTTAATACAGAAAATTAACCCAGAAGTAACCTCAATGTGTTGTAGTATGACCCCCTACTCAGTGTATTTTAAACTTTATATACCAGTCCTTTTGGTTTGCGTTCTTACAGGCTTCCCAACTTTTACCTTTGGAATAAACCAACTTCCAGAAAATTGTGAGAATGTAGTCCACTAACACCTGTGCACGATGAAAATAACCATTCTTAAAATTCATTCTGGGGCTGCCTGGGTGGCTCAGTCGGTTAAGTGTCTGACTCTTGATATTGGCTCAGGTCATGATCTCACGGTTTGTGGGTTCGAGCCCCACATCAGGCTCTGTGCTAAATGTGGAGTCTGCTTGAGATTCTCTCTCTCTCTCTTTCTCTCAACTCTCTCTGTCCCACCCCGGCCTGCACATGCACACGTTCTCGCCCTCTCAAATAAATACACATAAAAAAAATTAATTCTGTAATTTGGGTGAGTATATTGACCTTCCTGTCCAAAAGCCATGTTCTGTCTTAAATTGCTATAAATGTCTACAGTGGTTCTCCTATTTCAAGTTCCTTGCTTCCCCCCTTCCCCCCCATGCATCTTTCCTCTTGTTCCTTCTGCCAGTTTAACCCTATCAGAGCCGAGGTGCGTGAGTTCTTGATCGAGGCCTGTTCCTCTATACCTCTCATTGGTATCCATCACGGTGCAGAGTTGAGGTTTTATTCTGAGCAGAGTCATCCTGCAAATGTGCTTCGTTGCTTTAGCACCTGATAACCAGGAGCATACCTGGTCCAGATACTGTGTGGTCTCCTCCACAGCCTTCTAGATGGGAAGAACTTTGTTTGATGGATCCTGGGGAATGTTATGGAAAGACTTGTTTTCTTCTGTCTTCCCTACTGGAAATCTTTATGAAACCATTTCTTTTTAGCCTGCTCTGCTTTGTGCTTCCTGTTTCCAGCCTCTCTAAGGCCATTTTAGTCATAATTCTGATCATACCCTAGATTCTGTCCTTTTCTTGTTCGTAATTTTAGAATCACACCCCGCCATCCTAGAGAACGGGCCACTTATCCTGTTGAGCTGCTCCCCTCCTCCCTTGACCTGTCCTCCACCTTTTGTTCTTCTCCACAAACTCTCATTCTATTTTTTTCATCAGTCGGTTCTAGTTTAAAGCCCTCTTTGAAATCTGTTCTTTCCTTTCTGTATCATGCGAACCCCCTCCCTGCTGACTGGCTCTTTTTAGGGACGACATCCCATGAGCTACGAAGGTCCCTTCACAATAGACATTGTGGGAAAAGCCGATTTCAATCCCCTCTGTGACCCCAATTCTTTCAGCTTCTTCCCAATATCAGAAGCAGTTGGTGTCATTCAGAAAAGGCAGAGTGGATTCTCTGTGTTGAGAAATACAGGGCAGTGGTCAAAGGCTCGGGCAAGTTATGTGACGTCGTCTTCCTTTTTCTTTCTTTCTCACTTGTTGTTTTGGCAACTGGTCGGGCTGTGTGTGCCTCGCGGAACATTAGATCAAGCTGGTAGATGGTGACACCATTACTGTTTTATTTTTTCCTCTTGGGAACAGTAGGTGCTTGCAGTGGCGTTCTCGGCCCTGAGAACACATGATTCCTCTTCCCCTGAGAAAAGGTTTCTCTTTCCAGTGCCTTCCCCCCCACCAACTCCCAGCTGGATCAGAGGAAAGAACGGAGGAAAGAGGCTTTTTTTTCCTCTCTCTCTTTTATGTTGTCTTTTCAAACTATTGACTCTCCACCTACTTTATCGGTGGGCAGAATCCTCCTGTCTGCGTCTCTTTCTGAACATCAGCCTTGGTCACATGGACGCCCTCGGCTTTCAGCTTTGTGTCCTTCTGTACACAGCCTTGGAGATATCTAGATTAAATCTGCACAGATTAAGAGCAGGCAGTGTTCTGAAAACTGGTGCATTGACTACGATAGAGTTGTCCTGAGGTAATATCTGCAGATTGTAAACTCTGGGGAAAGAGCTTTTTTCTCTCATTTTGGAGTCTCCTTCCACTGAGGATATACCTCTTTTGAGTCTTTTTGGCTGCTGATTTTATTTATTTTTTTGGTAATGTTTATTTATTTTTGAGAGAGAGACAGAGCACAAGCAGGGGAGGGGCAGAGAGAGAGGGAGACACAGAATCCAAAGCAGGTTCCAGGCTCTGAGCTGTCAGCACAGAGTCCCATGCGGGGCTCGAACCCACGAAGCGTGAGATCATGGCCTGAGCCAAAGTCGGGCTGTCAACTGACTGAGCCACCCAGGCACCCCTGGCTGCTGATTTTAAAATAAGTTCTTAGCTCAAGTCTGCTATTACTTGCCATTTGATGGTCATATCTGACTTCTTACCCTCATCCCAGCTCATAAGCAAACTCCCAGTCTCCCTCTTTGCCCCAGAACTTTCTTGGCCTCTTCATTCCTCCTCTTTCTTTTCCCGAGTGCCCCTGGTTAGTCTACCCTGTTCAACTTTGCTACTCAGGACACTGATTTCTTTTGTTTCTCATAGGTGTTGGACAACCAGATAAAGAAAGACCTGGCCGATAAAGAGACTCTGGAGAATCTGATGCAGAGACACGAAGAGGAGGCCCACGAGAAGGGCAAAATTCTCAGTGAGCAGAAGGCGGTAGGTATAAGGAATCACAAAGCCAGTTTTCAAAGGAGGGTTTTTGAAACATGCCTGGAATCACACACACGCAAGGGGAGTCCGTTCCAGCTGATGAATTATTCTTCCTGCTTAATCCTGTGGAGTTCCTTGCCCACAGAAGGTTCTCTGCAGCTCCTTCCTCTCCTAAAAGCAGTAGGGGTGGTGGCTCAGGGTGGCCAATTTTGCCTTTCATGCTCTTCTTGAAGGACTCACGCTGGTCTATGATTAGCGTTGTCCTTCACAAGGCCACCTGACAAACCGCCCAGTGGCCCTAGGTCATCCTTAAGTGCCTCCTTCCTACGCGCATTTGCTCCTTTCCTTCCTAACCCATGTAGGCGTGGGTTTTAGAAACCTTCCACTCCTCAGGTTCACCTGTGGTGCTTGTTAATCCACCTGCGACCTCAGACCCCACAGGGACTTGTCACATCAGAGTCTCTAAGGAAGGGTCCTGGGAAGTTGTATTTTTAACCAGCACCTTCCCCTCCTCCTCCCTGATTCTTATGATTTATTAAGTTGGCAAAACTTTGATGTAGAGCATCTAGGCAACGGTGGCCGGGTATGGAGGGATCGCTTAGAAAACGACAGCCCCATGGGCGATGAGAAACATGAGTTTGCAGGTTCAAGTTAGAGGCTCTGGCAGGCCCAGGGCCCATGCAGATGACACAGGGTTTAATGAGGCCTGCTTTTTCACAGAATGACGGGTTCCTAAGTTGGTCCTTCTATGTGGTTTTAATGCAGGCGGCTTAGGTAGTGTGGGGATGTGTCATCTCTGTTGGAGAAAACGGAGTGCCATTGTCTGGGCAGTAAGACCTGTGACCCTCAGGGTACATTCCAGTCACCTCCCTTGTTACCTCTGGTCAGATCGCCTACATTTCAGAGGAGCCTTTTACCCGGCCCCACGGCCTGAGTTAATCTCATTCTGGTAGAACTGTCTGTGTGTGAGGTTTCAAAGGCCGCCCTGTGTTTCAGATGATCAATGCTATGGATTCCAAGATCAGATCCCTGGAACAGAGGATTGTGGAACTCTCAGAAGCCAATAAACTTGCAGCAAACAGCAGTCTTTTTACCCAGAGGAACATGTAAGTATTCACATTCTACCTGCGTGCATGATTACACATTGGTCTTCTCTCCTGGGGCATAAACTTCATTCTTCTGTCTGATGAAGCCAGAGCAGATTTAATTACTTCTGTAGTTTGTCCCAGACCTGGTTATACTTGTGTAACTTTGCCTTCTTTTACATGTCATTCTGCCATGCCCTTTCTTTGGAGCTGGGTTTTCTTAAATACTTCAAATTGCCATCAGATTACAGAGTGCTTTGCTCTCTCTAATGAGGGCTATTAATAGGTGGCTTTTGGAAAGCTGTGGTCTTTGTTCCCCAGACTTGCCTCCCATGATTAGCCTGGTTGGGCCATCCGTCCCGCTGGTAAGTCAGGCCCGGGGGCATGAGGTTTGTAAGGATTCCCCGTGTTCTAGGAGAACTTTGATTTTAATCTTCTCCCCCAAAGAATTAGCATCTCCAGGATTTTGTTCCCCCCTTAGATACGTCTCTTGAGAGATATAAAACATTCCCATTTTCACCTAAACCGGCTTAGTAGGCCACTTTTTGGTCTTTAAGCCATTCTAGTTTCTGATACTTGGGAGCAGTCTGGTGGGGAGGTGAGCAAGTCCTGTGGACAAGCGGAAGGAGTACCTTCCTTCTCCTCATCGCCCTTTCTTCCCCAGGGCCTGCCTTCATGAGTTTTGGGGCAGTCTTGTACTCTAAAGCGGCCCCTTTCTGCTCCTAGACAGACTCAAAAAAAAAAAGTCTACCATAGGAGGGAAATGTTAGTGTCCCTTGCAGCCCCTGGGACCTTCCTGTAGCCAATAGATGAGGGCCTCTGAACAGTGAGGACCGAATGGGCCCCAGCCCCCCAAACTGGGCTCATGCACACGAGGCTGAGTCCAGACCAAGCTAACCTGGCAATGACCATCCATGCCCACTTACAGAGACGTGCTACTGTTTCTGTGTGCCCCTTCTGAGGGAACGTGCTCACCTCTAACAAGACTGTGATTTTGCTTGGCTCCTCCCACCACCCCCACCAGGAAGGCCCAGGAAGAGATGATTTCAGAACTCAGGCAGCAGAAGTTCTACCTGGAGACACAGGCAGGGAAACTGGAGGCCCAGAACCGAAAGCTGGAGGAGCAGCTGGAGAAAATCAGCCACCAAGACCACAGCGACAAGAACCGGCTGCTGGAGCTGGAGACGAGGCTGAGGGAGGTGAGAGCGAGGGGCCCTCCCCCAGGAGGATTCGCTGGGGGGTGGGGCTCCAAACCCAGCCAGGTGTCAAGCGTCAGTCAGTCAGTATATACACGAGAGGTGTCATGCGTCCCCGATCTGGGTTAGAGTCCCACTTGCACTTGTGAGTTTTGTAACCTTGGGTAGCCTAGTTCTCTCTGCGCTTCAGGTCTCTCATCTGTCAGATGGCCATGATAATGGATCTCCCCCCTAGGGTCACATGAGGATGATGTCAATGGGTGTGTTTTTCAAACTGGAGCCGGGAGGGCAGAGTGATTCCTCCCTTATCCTAATTTAGCAAGGGTCACGAGGGTCACGTACTCGACTGAGGCCACGCTTGGGAGTTTAGCACTCGGGTACGTAGGGTGGCTTCATGGCAGTGGAGCGGTCTCCTAGTGACAGCGGAAGATGAAAAGACAAATCTAAATCTTAGGTTTGATGGAAGGTGGTTCACTTCAGAGATATAAGGAAGCTGGGAAACGTAGCCAAGTTTTGGGGAGGAAAATACAGCACATTTGGTTGTAGACGCGTTGAGGGTGATTGAGGCTGTGAAGTTACACGTGGAACAGTACTCACTGTGTATTTGTTAAATGCCTTGCTATGTGCCAGCAGTGGTGATAAGACAGACCCCATCTCTGATCTTGGGGGCTGTCAGCTCGTAGGCAGGGTTGGCTGGTTGGACAGAGGAGTGCAGGAGAGGGGTCGTTGGGAGTAGGACATCCCAGCTGGGAGAGGAGACACAGTTCCCGGAGCCTCGTAGGTCTCGGGTAGTTGTGATGGAATTCTTCAAGGAGCAGATGGTCTCTCTTAAGGAAAAGGCTGTTAAGCAGACAGAGGTCTGAGGACTAACATTGGGGAATACTCATGGGTTTTTTTTGTACTGCAGTGTGAAAATGAGGCCAGTCCCCCAAAGGACAGGCAAAAAAAAATGCATTGTCTCGTGTTTTTCAAGGGTGGTCCAGGTGTACATGGGTCCTTTAGGATCATCTGGTGTGTCTTTTGAAATGCAGATTCCTGGGTCTCTTAGCTTTTTTTTGAATGAAATAGGATGTGGGGGGACAGGGGGAGCTGGGATTTGCATTTTTAGCAGTCTCCAGGTGATTCTTACACTTCCAGAATGGTGGTTCTGGGTTGTCCAGAAGCCTTGGATGGTGGTTTAAGTTTTATTATCCAGGCTATATTTTTACTGTTCAGTAAGTTTAACAACATTTCCCTGTGGTGTCAGCCTTAAGAGTGTGAGTGTAAATAACTCCGATTTCTTTGAGCGTGGGAACACTGGCTGTCTTGCCTTCCCTTTCCACAAATGTCTCTCTTACTGCGGCACCTGTCCTGCCTCTGTCGCTCATCTGGGTAATTAAAATGCCCCAGGAAAAACGAGTTGCTTTTTTCTTTTCCCTTGAATCTGCTTTTTATTTTTTATTTTTTTATTTTTTCCTTTTGAATCGATCCAGCTAGCTCCCCCAAGGAAGGTGGGGGCAACCTAGAACATTTATAGGAGGCTCAGTGCTGTCACACCCCCTGGGAGTTCTGGAGCTTAGCTTTAAACATAACAAGGCTGGTCCACCTTCTCTGTGCTGCCTGCTGCTACTGAGTTTGGGGACAGAGGCCTCTCAGCCTCCAGTTTAATCCAACTTAGAGGGCCCTGGGCCTCCCCGACCCTGTGTGTGCAGTGTGAGGTCTTCCCTAGAGAAATGTGTGGAGTGGCGAAGGTGCAGGGCCCTGGTGGGGGGGCGGGGGTGGGGACTCCTCCTGTCTTTGCATGGCGTCCTGCTCACCCACCTCCACATGACTCGCTGTCACCTGCCTCCCTTGGTTCTGCCAAGTGGTCTCGGGGGAATGTTTCAGCCCGCCGGTGGAGTCACTGCCTGCTCTGACTGCTGGCATGTTAATAAGACAAACAGCAAGTAGCAGACTCTTGAGGCGGACTTCTGGGTTCGAAGCCAGCCCCGCCATTGCTGAGCTGTGTGACATTTGCTCAGCCACTTAGTGTGTCAGCGCCACAGCGTGCTCGTGTGTCAAGTGGAGGTGATAGTAAGCAGTGCCTCCCTCTCTGGGTTGTCACGGGATGAGATGAGCTAAAGGAGTGCCTGGCACCTTGCGGGTGAGCCCCGAGTTCAGTGCCATCAGGTCGCCGCCATCTTCACAAGTGGGAGAGCGCAGCCTTGGCTTCAGCTGCCGCTGACTGACTGACTAAGGGCTCCCAGATCTAGATCGCCAGCCCACACCTTTCTCGTGAGTCTCTGACCCACTGTCCCAGTAGAGGTTAGTTAGACACCTCCACCTGGATGTCTCCCTCGCTGCCCAAGTTCATCACATCAACACCGAATTTCTTACCTTTCTCCTCAGACTGGCTCTTCTCATGTTCCCTGGTGTTCTCTGGCGTAGCAGTGGTCTCACTGCGCAGAGCACCTGCCCAGAAGCTCAGGTGTCACTGTCGACTCCCCTCTGTCCTGTGTCTCTTGCCCCACCTCAAATGCACCACAAAATCTTGTTGGCTCTGTAGGCTTAATCTTTTATAAGTCTTCTCTTCATCCTTAAGGGACTTGGGTGTCACCTTTTCCAGGGACCCTTCTCTGGATAGAACATCTCCTTTGCGTCCCCCTGGCCTTCTTTGTCTAGATCATCACGTTGTGTACCTCTTGGAAGAACCAGTTAGACAGTGAACTTTCTGAGGGCAGCAGACACCTCTTATTTGCTTGACGTCCCCAAAGTCTGACACAGGGTCTGGTCCCTAGGACAACCTTGTCAGTGTTTGTTAGGTCAGTAGATTAGGCCATGGTCTCCCACATCTTTATGCCTTTGGATGTCTTGGTTCCTCTGCTTGGAATTTTCTTTCCTGTTTGCTCATTTGGCTCCTGTAAATTCTTCAATAAGTACACTCAGAGTTACCTTCTTTATTCACCACTGTGTGCCCACGACATCCCTACATATTCTGACCGTTACACTTGACCACATATATGGTAATGGTTGGTTTTCATTTCTCCTCCAACTCAGAGGAAGAAACTGTCTTTCCTCTTCATATTCCTTTTTATGTGGAAGTTGCTGAGTAAACTCTTCTTGAATGAATGAAACATTGAGTCGATAGAAGGATAGATGGGCAGATGGAGGAAAGAATGATTAGCTCACAATGTGACCTAATGTGGGTTACCTAATGCGAACAAATCAGAGCAGGAATATTTAAAATAAACGGAATTCAATTCTGGTTGTTTCATTTTTATCCCAATTGTAAAGGTGTCCTTGTTACCAATATGGTGTTATTTATAGCCATTTACTTTTAAATGCTTTTTTTGTAATATTTTTTTTTAATTTTAGAGCATGAGTGGGGAAGAGGGGCGGGGGGGGGGCGGGGAGAGAGAGAATGAGAGAGAGAGAGAGAGATTGGGAGGAAGGGAGAATCTCAAGCAGGCTCCATGCTCAGCATGGAGCCCAACGCAGGGCTCTATCCCACAACCCTGGGATCATGACCTGAGCCAAAATTAGAAATTGGGTGCTCAACTGACTGAGCCACCCAAGCACCCTTTAAGTGCTTTTCTAATTAGAGTATTTGTCATACTTTTCATTTGAGACTCTTGCCGTGTGCTTTTTCTTCTGAAGCCTCCCCAAGCCTTTGAATATTTGGAAGTAAGGGATGCTTCGTATAGACATTTATTCTCTTACACGTTCTTACTTCTGGTCATTTTTGAGACTCCTGAAGTCAGGTCTATTTTATGACATTTTCTCCCTCTCAGTTGAGTGCTGAGAATTTGAATCCATGACCACATCAATCAACCAAGATGTAGGTTGAACGGCCAGTTGCGTCTCAGCTAGTTAGGGTCAGTCAGTTAGCTTGACTAGTCGGTTGCGTTCTCCGTAGTTAGGGTCAACTGACCGTGAGTGTGTGTGTCTCTCTCTCTCTGCCCCTCTCAGGTCAGTCTAGAGCACGAGGAGCAGAAACTGGAGCTGAAGCGTCAGCTCACAGAGCTGCAACTCTCCCTGCAAGAGCGTGAGTCCCAGCTGACGGCCCTGCAGGCGGCCCGGGCGGCCCTGGAGAGCCAGCTTCGCCAAGCCAAGACCGAGCTGGAGGAGACGACGGCGGAGGCAGAAGAAGAGATCCAGGCACTCACGGTAGGTCTGGGGACGGGCACCTTCAGGCTCCTCCAGGCCTCAGCCAGCACGAGCATGGCGCTTAGGAGACCTGCTCCCTCATAGAAATCCCAGGAGAGAAAAAGCAATCCTTTAGAGATACGTAATGAGCAGAAAGCGGGCTTACGTAAGCTCCTCCCTCATGAGAATTGGTATACTGCATCAATTGGTTAACATCTGACCTTTTCTTAGTATCTTGAGAAGTTCCTCTTCTATTTGTATGTCTTCCCTCTTTTTAAAATAATCATCATTGTATTTAAAATTTTAGTTTGAGCCGAAGTCCATTTTCCTGGATCTTCTACTTAGGTTTCACTAATCGTTAAAAAAGAAAAATAATCTTCTACCTTATCGTAGTCTTTCTACCACATTTCTATTTTTGTATTGGTTAGCCTCATTTGTGTTACTTTTTTTTTTTTTAAAGCTGTACATTCTTCTTCAAGTCTTATGTGCGCATCTCGTATGTTCTGGATGGAAAAGATTCTTCTGAATGAGAGTCTTTCTCTAAGAGGGACCTGGCCTCTCTGCTCATTGTGAGACACTAGTTTATTCAACTGAAGAGTGTGCTTAGGCAGTAGAACTTGAGGAGAAGGGAGGGTGACGCTGGATTTAGACCTTAGGTCTTTCTGGAAGTCTAAAAATAGGACGTTTTGGGTCAATTTCCCACAGTTGATCCTTCTCATGGGGGCTGACCCAGGCTGATAAAACTGACAAGAATCTTACATATAAAAGGCCAGCGTATCAACTTCCAGTGGAAAAAAGAACCACCGAGCTGCCTGGGATACTCCGGGTGGCTAATCTTCACATTTTTTCCCCTTTCAGAGAAGTCTTCTCAAAAACCTCATTTCTCCTGGAAGGGCCGCTTGGTGGACCTGGACTCGGCACAGAAAGCCGAAGGCGTTTAATGGCTAGTATCAGCCAAGCAAGTACATCGGTGGTAGTAACATAGTGTACTTGCCAAGTGGACAGGCACAGTCATGCCTGCTGGTCAGGGTACCCTCTTCCGTGGGCAGGGCACAATGCAGCTGATTGGGTTTTAGTGTTTTCTAAAATAAGGTAGCTCGGTGGGTACCTTATTCACTCTGATTCATCTTGGATGCTGTCCCCATTTCCATCAGCGAACATCTCAGCGTCTCTTAGAGTGGGGTTACTTCTACAGATGGCCATGCACATTTGTTGCTTATGATTTACCCTGTTTGAAAGTAATGTGTGTACTTCTTTTTCTTTTTAAAAACCGATCTCATCCTTAGAAGTTACCTTCTGTTGTTGGCTTTGGGGAGCCCATTATCTGAACCAGATTGGGAACGTGATCTGACAGTGCCAGGCTCCTTATAGACCCGTCTAGGACACGGGGGTTTCCAGGATCCTGGGGATACGGATTAATTCCTGCATAGGAAGTACGTGTGTGTCCCAGATTTTCCAGGACTTTCACCAAGTTCAGATATTGATTGCAACCTTAATTTCTATTGTCCCCATGAGAACACTCATTGTGTGATATGCCATGTGTCCTCAGTACTTGGTTTGGCGAAAAAAACAGTCACGATATCTTTTTATTTATACTCTGCCTTGTTTCAAAATGGATTCAGAGCAGTTTGGGAAGATATAAAACAGTATAACAAGATAAAATAAGAAAGAAAAGGCATAGAGAAAATAAGTCTATATAAGAAAAATATGGAGGTAGGAATGAAATGAATATAAAAGACTGTGTGCCAAGAAGACTTATGTGCTTTCTGGAACTGGGTAGATGAGGAGGGAGACAGCCAGATAGCATTTCTTAGCTGCTAAAGGAGGCACCTAAAATCTTACCACGGTTATATTGAATGCATTGTGTATTAATATTGTCCCCCCTGTGTGAACCACCCACGCTCTGAAAGAAAGAGGAGACACCAGTAATCTAATCCATACTTAATGAATCCTCACTATGTGCCTAGTGCTGTGTCTTTAGCCTTTTCTCCCCAGGGGATTGGCCTGTAAGTCCTCAAATCCTTTTACTTTGGAGCGGAGGAGAAGGACACATTTATCTCACTGCTCTGTTGGGATTGGGAGGGAGGGTGGTGGCATCTTATCCTGCCCATTCAGAAGGAGGAGGGTATAAAATAGAGCATGTGTCACTGCTGTTTATCTGTGGGGAAATTAGTCTTTAAATCCTGTCTTGCTGCTGGTTGGAATGTGCTGTGTCTAATGGCTGCTGGAAGCCTTCACAGCAGCAAGTCACGACTTAATTTAGTCAGATGAGATCACTGCCTCCGAGCATCTTATGAAAAAAATAAAGAAACAAACCTCCCTAAGTCTAGAAACTAGGGCTCTACCACCCTTGCAGATGAAGATGCCTTGGAAAATAGGGCTTTTTTTCAAAGTGATGGCAGGGAAAAATACCTTACAGCTGTTTGTAGCCTATTGTGCAGGAATCCAAACCCCATATCAACTTGCCTCAGTCCAGTTTTGAGGCCATGGGTCTTCCCCCTGCCCCTCCCTTCGATTATGTCCCATGGACGTGGTGATGGACCCCATGCAGCTGTTGCCTGAATGGCTTTGTTGAATTTGTTCTGAAGAATGTATTTTCCGAAAGAAAGAGAAAATGGCCATAGATGCAGTACCCTGACTCGGTCTCATTGTTCAGGTCCAAGTTCAGGCCCCCCACATAAGCATCAGTCAAATTAAATCAGCTGGACCTAAAATGGTCTAGGAGATTTGCGAACTTCATAGCAGGCTGTTTTACCAATAAAAGAGAATAGTCAAATGGGCTATTGTTGCTTAATTTTAAGAGGCAGCCATCTCCTGGCCGGGGTAGGGAGCCGTTACTCTGGCTTCTGCCCCTGGAGCAGATTAGATGCAACACAGTACTGTTGACTCCCTCCACTGCAGAAGTGCTTTGGGGCCCACTGGGAAACGACTGTCGGTCTCCTTCGTGTTTTCTTGCTACCGCTCCAACTTTAGCCATCCTGTCAATTGAGTTTGCTTGGAGATTCACTGGCCATCAAAAGCTGAGAATGAATCAAGGTGGAGGCCGACAGGAGAGTCATATTTAAACAAAAAGCCATGCTTTTAAGGTGCTTCAATGCTTCTTGGTGGAAGAGAGAATTTTCCACCTCGAGTTGATATTTAAGACCCCATCCCTTCATCTGAGGAAGAGAATTTGATGTTCCTTGACATGTTTCTTGCACACTTTAGAGCAGACAGATGCGTGATGTGATGTGCCATTCTGAATGTGGATGCAGGGAAAGGCGTGGTGTAGGCCCCGTGTACATCAGCATTGACTCCACGACGCACGCTTCGTGTCCCTGTCCTCACGTTCTTTTACTGATTTGGTTAAATGACTAATGCTGCATAATCAAGAGTTCAAAGCTAGAGGCAATAATGAAAGGAGTGATCCAGCATAGCGTGATCATGGGATCCCAATGTCATCCTCTTTGGTTTGTTAAAACCATGAGTCTGCATACTCTCATTTGTTTTACATAAATATCAATCCTTGTATTTAATTAAGCAAGCCACTGGCATGATAAGCAAGATACAGAATTGGGGGCATGTGTGGAAGCCTGAGTGTTCTAGAATCCTGACCATGGGCCCCAGAAGATGGTCAGACATCTAAACACTAGTTTCCTTTCTCCAGTTCTGCATGGAATTTTTCTCTCATCAAGACTGCGTTAAATTCTCTTTTTTTCTTCCTCTTGTAACTTTCTTTAAATCAGTGAAGACCTAAGTACTCCTAAAAAAGAGTGCATCTCTAGTCTTTAGGCTGTAGCCTGTGCATTCTTCCTGATTGCCCTCCAACCCTTAGGTCAGCAGTTCTCAAAGAGGGGTCAGAGGATCCCTTGGGGTTCCCCAAGTTCATATTATTTTCATAATAATACTAAGATTTCATTTGGCATTTTTCAGTTAACATTTGCATTGGTGGTGCAAAAGCAATGCTATTTTATTTATTTATTTTTATTTTTTATTTTTTTTAATTTTTTTTTTCAACGTTTATTTATTTTTGGGACAGAGAGAGACAGAGCATGAACGGGGCAGGGGCAGAGAGAGAGGGAGACACAGAATCAGAAACAGGCTCCAGGCTCTGAGCCATCAGCCCAGAGCCCGACGCGGGGCTCGAACTCACAGACCGCGAGATCGTGACCTGGCTGAAGTCGGACGCTTAACCGACTGCGCCACCCAGGCGCCCCAAGCAATGCTATTTTAAAAGAAAGAGTAAATGTTTGAAAAAAATCTCCATTTTAATTTCTTAAGTGATAAATATAGATAAATATAACCCACATAAACAAAAGCTCTTCAGGGTCCTTTGAAGAATGTAAATATTTATTCCCCGTAGCACCTGATATCCAATTAACACTCAAATATTTCATTGAGAGAATCTAAAGATTGTCTTACATATTTTCTTATCTATATATACAGTATTGTGTGAACTTTTGTTGTGTGCTTGCTTTACAACTTATTTCAAAGAAACATAAAACATGTTTCTTGACATTTTCTTGCTCAGATCAGTTCAATAATTGTTAAATGCTTATAGAATCTCCAGCAGTCATAATAGGATCAGTTCTACATTTTGTGTTTATATTTCACAGTCAATAATAAATCAAGTCATAATGATCCTCAAAGAGGATTGCCATTTGATATGTCAGAATGATCCAGAGGCCTCATAATGGTAGATTTTAATGGAAATGAAACAGTATTAGTGATTGAAATATCAGACTACATTGGGGGAAGTTAAACACGTTTTTAAAGGAGTAGTGTTATTTGGAAAATCTATTAATAAAAAAGTTGAATAGGGCCTCTCTTCCTAAGTCAAGGCCAGTGAGTTTTTTCATGGTCCCTGCTTAGGCTTTGAAGAAGTTCATTTTGAAGGAGTTCACTCTACTGTCAGCTTCCCGTTTCTGTCTTTGAGAGATTTCACACCAAATAGTCATTTAAATCAGGGGTTGGCAGGCAACAGCCAATGGGCCGAATTCAGTATGCTTCCTCTTTTATGTAAATAAAGTTTTATTGGAATACCCACTTGTTTTCACATTGTGTATGGCTGTTTTTCTGCTATGAGATCAGAGTTGAGTAGTTGTGAGAGAGACTGAATGGCTCTCAAAGCCAAAAATATTTACTGCCTGGTCCTTTAAAGAAAAAAATTTGCTCATTCATGCTCTTAGGTTTGTTAACGTAGGGCCTTATTCTTCCTTGGGAGAATCCATGCCTTTTGTCCTTGATGATTAGTAAGTGTACTCAAGGGAGTTGGATGGTCTTTGGGGGCCAGGCTGCTGCTTACAGCAGATGAGATTTCAGTGGTAGAACCATGTTCCCACTTTGGATAAATGGTATACATGCCCCATTAAATCAGTAACTCTCCTGTATGATTGTTGGGCCTGAAGCAGATTGATTCTTGGGAATAAAAATAGTCTGATAAGTTTTCCATAAAAATGTGGGCTAATTATGTGGAGAGTTGATTCTTTTTTTTTTTTTT